TGAATATCTTGTTCGGTGGCGCTCCCCATGGGCCCCGATCCGTATGAGGGGTGTGCCGAAGTGGGTGTGGGGGACGCATGCGGGCGGTGGTTCTGGGGCCTCCGGTGGAGCTCCCTCTGGTGCCACGAAACACGTGAGGGGTGTGCCGACATGTGCGTGGGGGACGCGTGCGGGCGGTGGCACTGGGGCCTTCGGTGGAGCTCCCTCTGGGGCCACGAAACTTGAAGGGTGTGCCGAAGTGGGCGTGGGGGACGCATGCGGGCGGTGGCACTGCGGCCTTCGGTGGAGCTCCTGGGCCACGAAACGTGTGAGGGGTGTGCCGAAATGGGCGTGGTGGACGCATGCGGGCGGCGGGGGCCTTCGGGGGAGCTCCCTACTGGGGTCACGAATGGTGTGAGGGGTGTGCCGAAATTTGTGTGGGGGGCGCATGCGGGCGGTGGCAATGGGGCTTTCGGTGGAGCTCCCACTCGGGCCACGAGACGTGCGAAGGGTGTGCCGAAGTGGGCGTGGGGGACGCATGCGGGCAGTGGCACTGGGGCCCCCGGTGAAGCACGGGGCCACGACACGCGTGAAGGGTTTACCGAAGTGGCTGTGGGGGACGCGTGCGGGCGGCGGCACTGGGGCCTTCGGTGGAACTCCCTATGGGGCCACGAAATGTGCGAGGGGCGTGCCGACATGTGTGTGGGGGGCGCACGCGGGCGGCGGGGGCCTTCGGTGGAGCTCCCACTCGGGCCACGAGACGTGTGAAGGGTTCGCCGAAATGGGTGTGGGGACGCATGCGGGCGGTGGGGGCCTTCGGTGAAGCTCCCTACTGAGGGTCACGAGAAGTGTGAGGGGTGTGCTGAAGTGGATGTGTGCGTGTGTGTGGGTGGGGGTGGGGGTGGGGTGGGTGGGGGGGGGGGGGCGCATGCGGGCGGTGGCGCTAGGGCGGCGCTGATGATGACGATGATGGACATGATGGCGGCCGTGATGATCATAACGCTGATGATGATGACGGCGCTGACGATTACGATGATGATGATGATCATGAGGATGCTGATGATGATGAACATGATGATAGGAGGGCGGATGGGGGATGAGGAAGGATGAGGTGGAGGAGGGGAGGAACGCGGGGCGCTGTCTCTTCAAAACGAAGACCCAACACCACAGGATGGTCGGCCCTCGAAACAACCAAAACACATATTTCAGTCCTGCGCTTCTTCGGACTGGCAAGGAGTTGCTCGTCCGCGCGCCTTGTCCGAAGTCGCCAAGCGGAGGAGGGCCCTGCAGAGCGCCTGCGCGGCAATCCTGCACACCTCCACCGCGGAGCTCGCCAGCAAGTCGACTGAATCTCGAAACGTGCGCGGCGGTTCATTCAGGGCCAGAGCCTCGGCCGTTTGCGAACATGACCTGCGGACGTACTTGCCAGCGAAATGCTCGACAAGACGCGCGGCCCGGGCCGTGGAGTCAGCAGGCGCAGAGTCTGCCTCGCCGAGCGCTCTAACGAGCGCCGCGTGCTCTGGACGAGCTGGCCGCCCAAGCCACGCTTGCCACGGAGCGCGCAAGTGCCCAGCAGCAGCCGCGGCGTGCCGGGCGCCTCTCGCGAGGACGAGGGGCACATGGCAAGCAGGCGGGGCGGGCACCATGGCGTGAGCAAAGCCGTCTTCTCCTCCGAAACCTCGGACTTCCAGATCACTCTCACCGCCGCTGGCTGCTTCAGGATCTGCGATGGCGTCGTCATCGCGGCAATCTGGACTGGAAAACCCAACGACGTCCAAATCGCAATCAGACTCCATAGAATCCTCTCAGAATGGACTGGGAGACTGAACCCTCGAGCCAAAACTGCCAATACAGATGCGTTCGCATGGGCCCTGCTGTCCCCCGGGCCCAACGTGCTTCGCGATGACTCAATATCAACACGTTGCACCCCTTAATTGCGGATAAGGGTGGGGACGCGGGCAAGCGGGCGCGGCGCCTACGACCTACCCGCGACCCGCCCGCGGCACATCGGCCCCGTCGCCCGCCAGTCCTGGAAGGGCTCGGGGGCCCCAGAGCCCCAGAGGGAGGGGGAGGAGGGCCCCAGAGGGCTCGGGAGCCCCAGAGCCCCAGAGAGAAGGGGAGGAGGAGCCGCCCTGCGGTCAAAGACGAGGGCCGCCATCTTGACAGCAGGGGCCCCCCTCACGCTGACATCACTACCCTAGTCCTGGAAATGGCTCATTCCTGGCCCACCGCCCTCCGCGTATTCTTTCCACGCGCAGCATCCCCGCGCATAGGATACGAGGGGAAAGTGAGAGACAGGGATCCGACGCAATGGGAATGGATGGGGTGGGCGGGACACAAGACGTCAGATGCATGATCGCCTGCCCAAACTCAGGACCTAGACCACGCCTTCAAGCCGCCGAACCCCTGTTGGCCAAACCCCCCTCTTCCTCACCGCCGCCCATTTTGCTGCTCTCCCCTTTCACGGTGCGCACCCTCGGGCCCTCCCGCCCACTGCAAGGGTCGTTCCTCGAACATGCAATGATCATTCAATCGAGCCCTATCACTGCGGCGGCTGCTCAGTCCTGGAACGCTTCACTGGGGCCGCCGGGGAACGCAGGTGGTCAGACAGCTCGAGCGCGGGCTGTGGCATGTACGACTTACGAATCCCACCAGCCCTCGAAGAGGCAGACGTACGCGGGCGGTTTTTGACACTCGCTGCGCCGCCCTCTTCCCGACACGGGACTCTGGGCCTGGGAGTCCAGGGCTGGGCGGGGCGCCTTTCCCCCGCGCCCAAGGGGGCCCGAGATCATAAGGACCTAGGAAGCCCCGGCGGGCCTCACTCGGGATGGGAGACAGGACAAGAGATATATAGGATTGGCCCCGACGGGCCTTGCAGTAGCCCCATGGCTCCGGGACGCGAAACCCAAGACAGCCCCAGGACACAGGACTCAAGACCCAGGAATCCCAAGACTAACCAACACGGTTCCAAATGACCGCGGGGGCCCAACGAGATCCGAAGAGCCCAGCTTATTCATTATCGCCGCAACGCGCCTGGGCGCGGGCACCGCCTCTGGTTTCATTCTGGACGGGCTGGCAGGCAAGAAGGGTATATGGCCGCGCGAAGCGTCAAGGAGTATCGGCAGCCACTCTCCGCAAGGGCGCTTCCTCAAACGAGAACCCTTCACTGATTTCGTTGGCCAATCGTATCTAATGTCCACTGGGTCTGCGAACAAGTCGGCCTTCGGCGAAACCTCGACGTCGGCGCCGACCGTAGCCATGGCGCACGCCAATCTGTTCGCCGCTGTGTCCAAATCAAAATGGTGCAGCGCATCCGCTCTCATCGCAGTGACCCCTGAACTGCTTTGAAACCGAAATGGCTCTGGACCCCCATCAGGAAAACCTGGGGGGAGGACGACGGGCCCGTGGGCTAAGGGCTGGGAAGGCTCAGGTGCAAAGATTTCCAGATGGAACCCTAACGCCCTCGGTTAAGTCATGATCGTCCTCGGCGTCTCTGTCCACGTAAACGTCGTCGTCTGCCCCCGCCCCATGTCGGCCTGCGCATTCCACTAGTCCTCCCTCCCCCGTCAGCGGCGCCCTCCCCCAAGCGGGGTCGAAAGGCGAGGTGACGCGCGGTTCGACCGCCGCCCAGGGCGAATGCCCTCGACGGGACTCGTAAATCTCAAAATCCTGGAAGTTCACAGCGACTGAATACCGCACAGCACGGCGACCCGCGCCCTGACGCCTTCATTGAGTCTGGCTCGGTCTAGCTAGAAAGTCGAAAGCTTACTCGAGGGGCCCCCAAGTGCCGAGCGGCTGGAAGGGCCTGACGTCTCAGTCGCCCGATGGACAGGACGACGCCTGCACGAACAACAAAGACATACTCTTTCCAGTAATGGCAAGACTTTGGTGACTAAGTGCAGTACTACAGGGATTCTCTCGAAACGCGCAGGCAACGCGGGTTCGCGGGGATCCCAAGCCCGCGAGAGCTGCGGGGAGGGGGGGCGACGTTGCCGGGGCGGCTGCAACCCTAGACCTTCAAATTTGCCTGGAAGGATGTGCGCGGCATCTGTTTGCGCGGTGGGCGCGGGGCGAGGGCGGGAGGCGACCGCGCGAATTCTCACCGCTCACTGCGGCGCGCCCCTCACGCGGCTCGTGGCTCCATTAATGTAACCATTGGGGGCTCCACCGAATCGTCCAGCGTCGGTGACCGCGCGAGCTCTCACCTATCATTTTCGCAATACCCCTCACACGTTTCGCGGCCGCATAGAACTAGCCGCTAAGCCGAAAGTGCAATTGGCAGTAAACGCATGAAGTCCAGCCATTCACTTCGGCGCAACCCTCGCATGTCATTTTTTTCGCGCCCCTCACACGTATCGCGGCTCCATAGTCAGGGTCTGGCGAAAAGGCCGA